TATCAAAAGATGCCAAGAACAGATGAGATGACAAGATCCCTAGATGCAGAATCTTGGTGTGGCAGAAAGCCTACTTGGAGGAAATCACATTAGTATATTCACTTTTGTTATTTCCTGATATCCAAGATGCTAATTCACCAATCAAAATTATGGAAAAAATATAATATCTAAGATGCTTGTGTATGATATGAACATTTCTGAGTAAGGAGGAGTGGGAAAACTCAGGAAAGGAATCATGGAAATTCCACAATGAGAGTTCAGGGGATTCCAACACAAATCTTGCTTAAGTGTGGTGGCACACAGGAACCCCCAGCTACTTAGAAGGTTAAAGCAGGAAGATCTTTTGATCTCAGGAATTCCAGATCAGTCTGCATAACATAGTGAGACTTCAATCTCAAATCAACAACAACAAAACATCTAGAAATCTCTTTCAAAATGTACCCCTTTGAGCTGGGATTTTATATTACATTGCCATGTCCCCTGATGCCTCAGAACCAAGTATCTCAGGACCCTGAGATCCAGACTTACCCACACTTTGTCCAGAGACAAAAAGAGATCCCTTCTGCCTTCCAAAATTTCCTGTGAGAATACAAGAACATGCAGGTGCAGTCATACATGACTCCAATCCCAGAGACTTCCGAAGCAGGAGGACAGCCTCAGCAACTTAAGCAGATCCTGTCTCAAAATTTTAAGAAATGGAATGGACTGGGAAGGTCACTCTGATTCCCTGGGTTCAAGTCCTAGTCCAGAAAGAAGAACAAACGAATGAAGGAACAAAGGAATAAAGGGAGATTGCCCATGTCTGTGCTCTCCTAGTGTCTCTCCTGTGCACACTCAATCCAGCAAGGCACTCCAAAGATAGCAAAATGGACCTGAGTTTCTAAAGCCCAGGCCCCTGAGTTGCCTAACCTGAAATTTTGTTATAGTTGGACAGTTTGAACTTTAAATTGGGCAGGGACTACCAGGTCCCTGGGAGCAAGAGATAAGCAGGATGTCTGTGTGTCAGGGGACTAGGTCTCTAGTCCTTGGGGCCCCTGAGCCTGGCCCACCCCAGCCTAGTGAACCTGCTGGTAATGAATTCAGCACTTTTTCCATGGCTCTCTCGAACCTCAGAGCAGTTAACCTGGCTCCAGCTCTCTGCACACAATTCTGTCACAAGCCAGTGAGTAGGACAAAAAGCTTTTTGAAATATCTCAAAGTCAGAATATTTGCTTGGAGAAGGAGACATAATAATAATAATAATAATAATAATAATAATAATAATAATAATAATAATATTATCATCATCCACCACTGGCTCCACATTGACCTCAGGCCAGACACCGCAGTAAGAGCTCTACTTAAGCTCACTGATCCCCAGCTGATAACTCGCCCAATAAGGAAATACCACTACCTCCTGTTACAGGTAAGGAACATGGGTGGAGAACCTGTTAGCAAATGACAAGGTCTGGACACCCAGTCAGTTTGAATTCAAGCCCATGCTAACTCCTCTGCCATTCAACATGACTTGGTGATCCAGGAACCCCAGATCCAGGCATTTCAAAAGCTGAACCTGAAGCTTCCTGTTTGTAATGCCCCTTCCTCTATTTTAAGATATCTGTGAAGCCTAAAATAAGCATTAAGTGGGTAAAGTTAGGTTTACCAGCCAATGAGAATCATGTGATATCACCTTACAAAGGAACCTTAGTCTCTTTGACCACAGAGTTGAAGGATTCTAGAAAGATTCAGAAAAAAATGTTTGCAAGACTATAGAGTCCATAGGTCACATAATTGACCTACTCATTTCTAAGGAAGAGGAGCTCGATTAAGTCAGAAGCTAGAACAAAGACCAAGAATCTAACTTGGGCCCCACATTCCCACTCCAGGGCTCCTTCCATGCATCACCCAATACAAAGAGGTTATAAAATTGTGAAGTGAAACTAGACCATTACTTTCAGAGCCACTCAGTGTTCTGTTGCTCTCTGAATCTGATTCAGAGACATGACAGAGTGTGTGACATTGGCAGAGAGATGCTAGAATAGCATTTTGAATGTGCTGAGAAAAAATATCACCCAAACAAAGAGGGGTTGCTCAGTAATAGCTATGGCTTCCTTCATTCTGAATGTACATTACAAATACTCAGGGTTAGTGTGTTGTGGACACATGTGAAGTGTGTCACTTCTATGTCAGAGCATTTCACTGTTGGTGGAAGATATTCCAGGTGTCATTCCCTGGCCACATAACTGTAAAGCCCACATTGTAGAGCCTCCATCCACCAGGGACTGTGTGGACAGGCCCCTGAAACCCACAGTGGACATGCAGCATGAGAAGGCAAGAAACCTCTTCATGTTAATTCATAAACATTATGCATCTCTGGGGGCTGGGGCTGTAGCTCAGTGGAGGAGCACTTGCCTAGAATGTGTGAAGCACTGGGTTAGATCCTTAGCACTGCATAAAAATGAAAAAACAAAGGCATGCTGTCAATCTACAACCACAAAAATAATTTTTTTTAATTATACATCTTTGCATTACTGCGGCAAAACCAAGCCAATCCTTAATGGTTCTCCCACAAGTTGCATCCTTTGCCCATGTAATAATCAAAGCTGTTGCTCATCTGAAAAGCATCACATTTTATATACACAAACTCCTTCTATATGGCTGTTTCTACTAGACAGGAATGTGCTATGACCTGACCCTTAAGTTGCTAGGAAACCCACCTTGCTCCTAATCTAGTGCTCCAGAAACAAAGACTGTCCCTCCAGGTAAAACTGGACCCCAAAGCATTCCTTCCAAATGTTTGTATTTATCTTTTGGGGTGTGATGGATAAAGAAGGGGGTTGATCTCAAGGTGAGACACTGGGATCAAGATTTTTTGAATAATGGTAGCATTAGAGCTCAATAAATGGTCACTTGCATTAGAATGGCAACCACTGATACTCCTGGGTACAGGGCATTTGGAGGGTGACAGTGATAAACCAAACATAGCACTTTCTCTCCAATTGTTCAATATTCAACAATCTAGTCAGACAGAGGGAATCAGCAATCTTGCCACAATTCAAGGCACAATGAAATTAATCTGTGCTAAAACTGGACTCCATCAACTGATGGGATGGTCAGTTCTTCCCTGTGCCATCAGAGGGGGTAGCACACAAACACACAGTATGAACTCAGCCTGGAAGAATAAGTAGACAACAAAGGACAGTCCAGCAGCCTTTGTCCCAGCAATAGCACTAGTTTGACCAGGTTGGAACAGGTGTTCATGAGGTGTGGTGTGGAAGTGAGACAGGAGGGCAGGCCTAGAGCCTGGTGCCAGAAGCCCCAAATCCCTGCACCTCTCCTTCTGGGTCTTTGAACAGAGGCCAGGGTGAGGAGAGAGAAGCACACCCAGTGGTTTCAACTATCCCCTGTCTGAAAACATGTATCAGAATTTGAAATGAACATAGGTCATGCTGTATGCACACATGGAGCAGAAACATCACCCTCCCAGGACTTCTTACCAGATTTCAGGTTTGACAGTGATCTTTACACCCTAGACTCATGAACAATGTCAGAGGTCTAAAGCCAGGGAAGGAATGGATGGTTGCTGAGATCCAGAGAATGAGTACATGAGTGTAAGCTCCAGGAAGGCAGAAGACTGTGTCTGGCGTACTCTCAGTACCAGGCACAGGCACCAGCTTGTAGTAGCCACCTGACCCCTAAAACAGCTCTCGTGTGCTGACAACACTATTGGGCTTTGGGGACATGAGAGCTCCCTCCTGTGAATTTTAACACTGTCCTATTCCAAGAAGGCCTTGAGACCAGCTTGGCACAGCAATGGAGGCTGCTGGGAACAAACCTCAGTCTCCTTCCTGCCTTTCTAAAGCTAGTCAACAACTGGCCACGCCAAGGCCAGATGAGCTCCAGGTGCGCCTACTTGACTGGCATCCCTGCCAATCTCACTTATCCCAAAATGCAACTAGGAAGCCCACTAGTGAGTCTCTTGGTTCTCCTGACTAGGGCTAAATCCTGTGACCAGCAATTCTATTGTACCTCTATATCTACTTCTATTGGGGTACAAATGTTCATGTGTGCTCTTTTGAAAAAGCAATGAATGATTTCTGATTCCTTAAGGAGAAATGACCATAATTCAGAATTACACAC